ATGTATTAAAAAATTGTAAGTTTTTATATAGAATTTTGATTTAAAATTAAAACTAAATTTGAATGAAAATCATTACCATTTAAGGATATCAAGTCACGTGGGTTATATTACGTAAAAAAAATTTTTTTTTTTGACTTCACCTCGACTAGACTAGGAGTCGATCCGCTGACGCGATTCCCACCCCTTACCCACGCTGTCACATCATCCCGACAACTAGCCCATAGCTGCCGAAGTGATCAACTGTACATGTTAAAAAATAATCTTATGGTGAATAATAAAATATGAATATGTGATCACGTGTGTTACAGTATTATACTCGTAATACTATAAAAAAATTAAAAAATATATTTGCTCGGTCTAATTTTATTCTTTTTTTTTATAACTTTCCGTAAGTTCGCGGTATGTTTTCTTTAAATTCGTTATTAATTTCTCTTGTTTAATTTTTTTTCTGATTACATCAATCAATATTTGAATGTAAATTATTCTCGATGTGGAATTATTTTTATTTATGATTAACATTACAAAATAATCGTACTAATCAAATATTTTATTTATTACTAGATAAATTACAATTCTAGCGAGTGCCCAAGCACGCAATAAAATTTTCCATAGAGAAGGTGGATCTTACTCTCATGCTTCAAAGAAATTAAATAAATAGAAAAAACAAATTGATTTTTCAAGTAACAAATCAAAAAGATTATGGGTCTTTCAAAAAAAAATAGCTGTTAACAATACAATGAAGACATATAAACTAAGTGGATTACCAGGTATATTTAATATGTGGAATGGGCGCGATCCGTACAAAAGAGATCGAAAATATCATGTGACTTTGCATCATAAAATACTTTAAAATTTATTGCAAAAAAAAAATTATTTCCTTCAACTTCCACCGTATCGAAAGGAAGATATACATTTAATAACTTCCTTTTTCTTTGTATTTTTTTTAAAGTATTAAACTTGTACTATTTACATTATAAATGACAAATGGCCACGGTTAATCTAAAATTCAGAGTTAAATTTCAGAGTTCTTTTTCTTTGTCATAGAAACATATTACTGAGATCAAGAAGTAGCTGCGTTACAAATTGATCCTTCAGCATGAGAATGGATAGCTTAGCTACTACCAACCGTTATGGACTGGCATTCCAACAGTTCCTTAAAATTTATGAACTTTTGGGACGCATGATGAGTTGAAAATTAGATGTTCGACTAAATAATTCATGATATTAAAGTTGTTCGAGCCATTTGCGCGTTGAATTGTTAGTTGATACGTTAAATGTCTTCTGAACGGAATAGCATTATAATGCTTTGATGACGTTTTGATCATGATGCTTTTCACGAGCTACAAAAAAGGTATGTTTATGTAAGAAATTACAAAGCGTACATTTTTTAAATTTTATTAACGCACTAATCATTATTATTAAATAATATCTTTGTGAATATTCTTTTTTTCTTTCGACATTTATTAAGCGATTGCTTTAACTGTTAATAAAAAAAAAACTATATATCAAATTTCTTTATTTTCACAGGTTCTGATTGCCTTCATTAGAAAAGGAAACGCCATTATCTTTTAGTTACCAAACAAAAAAAAACAGGTAGTACAATGGTTTCCGAAAAATCAAATTGTTGTTACGTGAATCATTAGAAATATTTTTCCCAACCATTGGGAGCAATCATAGATTCTTCATCTATCATCATTTAAATCCATAATTTCTCGATCCTTGGGTATTATATTTTACTAGAACATGGTTGATATTTTTGTCTTGTCATACACTGCTTACATGTCATAATATAATCATATTTTATCATATATTTTATTCTTACTTTTCAATGATTATAAGTTGGGTTTGTTGGCTGTATCAATTAAAAATGTTATTCAAGTACGGTATAACGGAGGCTTTGTAAATTTTTATTTAATAAATAAATTATTTGTTACTTATATTTATCTTTGTATGACAGACTTTCATATTGAAATATTGATTATTTAATTTTATTAACCATATTATAAAATATGCGGAGTCTCATGTACATTTTTTCCAGCCGCTAAAAGTGTCATTGCAATGTGATGCATTGTTGATTTGATCAATGTGCGAGAATATGCAATGCCAACTGTTCTTTTTCAAATAACCATTCAAGGATTTAAATTTACTGATCTTAATTGCGATGTTGCTTATGTAAAAGCTGGAGATGTATTTATAGCAGCAGGCAAAATCATCGGTTAATGAAAATGGTGATGAATATTCTTGGAACATTCCAAATTTATCGAATCAAACATTTTAGCTGCACACAAGATTTTGAGAAATAATATTTAGTGATTGCTAAAGACGGAAAGGTACAAAGATTGGATTTGATCACTACGGAATATAATTTTTATAAGGGTAAGTGAAAACTTTAGAAAACTTCAATTACTGTTAATATTGTAACAATTAAATAATTTAAACTTTGTATTTTATAACATTCTAGATAATGGATATAAAAACTTCCATTTCCACAATAACGATGCAATTTAATCTTGATCAGATATGATAAAGTTGAATTATCAAACGGTAACATAAAATATTTTTCAAGATGATGGTAATATCAGCCAAATCTCTTCAGGAGTAAACAGCATGCATGTGCATTATGTCAATAGGCCTAGCAAAAATATAATTTTTCAATTGATAATATTTTTGTAAAAAGCCGAAATTTCCAAGAGCTCTCTATGGTGTAAAAAGTCATTTATGGTCTCTAACTACAAAACGTAAGCTGTAAGAATTATCTCGAATGTTAATCAGATGAATGCAGAATAAATTCTTCTTTAATGTAAACACGAATGTAAACACTATACAGCACAAGTCAACTGAAATTACAAGTTGTATGTATTTATCTTTCCAAGCAAATTAATCATTTTGCTTTTCTAATATTTTTCTTCTTTTAAAATGAAGTATTTAGTAAATGAATTAAAAATTAAACTCAAATATAAATATTTATCCGCATTCTTTAAGATATTATACTTTGATTTGATGCAAATCCCAAAAATAATGATGATATTGCAACTTCCTGTTGAAATCATTTGAAAATAAATGATATACAAATTATTCAATACTAAATAGACCGAATTAAACTGGAGTATAAATTTTTTTTTTATAATTAATTCATGAACAAATTTTCTAAGTTATGAAACGTTTTTTACGCGATATGTTTTCTTTGAACATTTTCAAATTGCTGTACAAAACAAAATCTCTTGAAAACTGATAAAATGGTCATATTAGTAATATTTGACATTTTTGCTCGAAATATATGGGAAATATCAAGTAAATTTCAATCTTTTCAAGATGAAGGTGAAGAATATGACATTGATTTAGCTACCGAAATTTTACAAGGATGCAGAGAATGTATTGTTCCTGGTATACCTGAAGATTATGTAAATTTTTATACTGGTAAATATATTACCTTAAATGTTAGTTACGAATATAAAAATTTATGTTTACATTATGAAACTTTTATATAATTTTAAAGTGCTGGGATAATGAGCCATATAAATAGTTGATCGAATTACAAAATCAAACATAAAAGAAAATAAACAAATGAATATTGATGATGAAGCAAACCTTCAATTATTAACACAACTCTTGAGTAGCGTTAATGCTTCTTCCAGTATAAATGATTCATTACATGGGGATTTATCTCGACTAATTGAAAATTTTGTTCAGATGAAGTAGAAGGATCAGATAATGTAGATATTATTTATGATGGTAACTATTGAAAGTTTAAGGATTACGGAATTAATAAGGATGACATATTAAACGCTTTAAGAGGATTGCAAAGATATCGAAAATTAACAGAACTTAATTGCTCACTACTAAAATAAAATCCTACCAACGGTACTCAAGTGTTATAAAACTCCAAAAACTATACTACCAACTTTACCCCACTCCTTACAAATACTTTTATGCAACAACTACCCTACCATTACACATGCATGAGACTTATCAACTCATTGTAAGATTACAATAAAAGTAACGACAATAGTTAGTTTATATTAATAGATCCCAGATAAAGTTAGTATTCGCTTTAGAGAAAAGTCATGATATTTTTAAGTTCAGTTAATGGAGAGGATGAAATGTAATGAATTGATCATCAAGGCGGATGTTTATTATGTGACTTAATTTAGCCAATTAAACTTTGACATTAAGCTCACGTGATTTTAATAAAATTAACATTTTTGTGGATTTCTTCTACTCTAGCCTTCTTTTTCATTGGAACCCTTTCTACTTCCACCCTATCTTTTAGTAATCCTACGATTATTTCCAATATTTGTTTACGTCGTTTTCATTACTACTTGTACAGGATATCCCTACCGTAATGTATAAGATGAAATACCATTCTGTATACCGTAAAGATAATCATAATACCCGAATGCCATATCCGCGGTACATTTTTTTGAATTTTCTTGACATGAATATCACATTGAATCAGTGATGTGATGGCAAGTGACCTGAAATGACCCAAATGACTTTGATGACTGGTCACTAGTCATTAAGTCACTTTAAAAGTTAAATGACCTATGACTTAGGTCATTTTATAATATTTTGTAGATGTTAAAACAAAATACTTCAAAAACTCAATAAAATATTATTTTTTATAAGTATGTAACCAAAACTAACTAATGAAATGTTTCTGAATTTACTTACAAAATTAAAATTTAAGAAAAATTCTTGTGCAAAATTCAGATATCCGGATCATTTTTAAGTATTACGGATTTGTGAAATTTATCCGTGGATGATTCGCTGTCATTTAGAATTAAAGTCGTTTGCAAATGACCCATGACTCAATGACCAAGGTCATTTTGACATGACTTCGGTTCATTTGAAAATTAGTCAAATGACCTGGTCATTTGCCATCACTGCATTGAATAATACATTGAGTAAAATCTTAATTCTTTTATATTGCCTTTCATAATACATTTAAGATCTTCAGTATTTTTTACAACGAAATCAACCCGACCACATTTTTCTCTCTTCTAACCAAACTCTGAGGGTGTGGTTACCTTTTCATTCGTAATTCTTTTTACTATATGTATTATGATGAATTCTCTGCGTTTTGCTTCATTATCATCTGCAAATAAAGTCGACAAATCATCTACACAACGTTCTAACTTAATATCGTACTAGGAAGGAAATCTTTATTCAGTAAGCATTGACTGTCATTGATCCTTAACGAGGTAAAAAATAAATCTTACCTAATGTCAATTGTTTAATGTCGTTAATAGTACTGCCGTTAATTTTAAATTGTTTTAAAACATCCTTGAATCCTTTAAAAGAATTATATGAAGAAAATGCTCTTAATCCGCGCGGTTTAAGACTCTCGATAAAATCTGTGAGAGTTTTGCAGCTCCTAATGAAAGACCAATGCTTCGGAGTTCATCCTTGTTAACTTGAGGAAGACAGAACCGGTAATATCTTTTTTACGTAATATTTCGAATTCTCGCTGCTTCAAATATTCAATAAGTTTCTCTATATTCAGGTCTTTGACTAATTCTGATATTGTTGGAATGTATTCGTCCGTTAGTGTAGGAGATTGTGAAGAGGGTGATACATTGATTCTTTCTTCGTTATATCGTCGTCTTTAATACGGTAAATTACAGTCAGCAAAAGTATCCGTTTGTATTTTACATATTATTTAAGTAAAGTTGATTGGAATTTTTACTAAATTAGGATGTAATGATCCTAAATTATCCTAAAAAATTGACTAATATATATAAAATTCAAGACAACGTATAGTTCTTAAGATCTAGTTGTAAAGATATACGCATATTGAGATCGTTAAAAAACAATTCAGGATTGAAAAATATGATACAATGTTCGGTTTATTGGATTAATTTATTTTTTTGAGCATAAATTTTAGGTCTTTGTAATTAACAGAATTTTATGCTTTCTATCTTACATTTTTACAAAAATTCATTGGAAATGATTTCTTATTCCGTGAATCATCACAACATTACTAAGAACCTTTTTTTCGTTCAAAAAAATACTCACCCACAAAATTTATGAATTAAATAATGTAATATGGAAAACGTGCGTGTAAGGTGCGAATCGATTCTACAAAATCGAATTAATCGAAAATCGAATAAAAAATCGAATCCATTTTAATGGCGCAGTAAGTCCGGGCGTAGGTGAAACTATCCACAATTTCTTTCACAGTATTAAAGCTTGTAGCCATTGATTATATTTATATCAATGAAAAAAATATTAAAATAAACAAAATACAAAATAAAAAAAAACTAAAAAAAACTTAACTTATGCCCTACGAAGCGATTCAAATGTGACGAAATCTATAAAGTAAATTAATATTTCTGCAAGAGATTGCTCACCACAGTTTTTGATCAATTTTAAAGTTTTTTAAATTCCTCATTCTCGATCTTACACTCCTTTCGATCTTTTTCACTTCTTTTATTTGTTTGTTCTTAATCGCATTATTCATTTTCACTAAGGTTACCGATTTCCATACCACAGTGATGGCAAATTACAAGGTCATTTACTATTTTTTTTCAAATGACCTTGGTCATTTTGACTTGAAATTTATAATAAAAGTGAGGTCATTTCAAGGTCATTTGTCAACACTGTTCTATACCCCCTAAGCCGAGGTATTTTAGATTAAGGCATGAGCGAGCACTTTTTCTAAAGCTGACTTACCACCATACCTCAAGTTGTTTAAGTTTAGAACATGAACGAGCAATACCCGAATCCGTAACATATCTTCAGTATCAGTAAAATTATAGCATTGCATCAGACCAAAGTTACCGGTATTTATGTTTCTGCATTTACGTGCAATAATGCATACAGTGGCTTCATTGATGTTACAATGTTACGATGCTAAACAAAAAACACGTTTTTTTTTGTTAATTACCGATCCGAATGTATTGTTTCCTTCTCTTGTACTCTGGAAAGTAGTCTCTTGGATTTAGATAAAAATGGAGGATTTATGATCAAGTTGTAAAGAAGATGGCATTAATAGTGCTCCGAGCCGGTCGAGTCAACCAGGGTCATTTGACCCGACTCGAGAAAAAATTCGAGTCGGGACTATCATTTTATGTATTTTATGTCAAGAGTCCTAATTTCTTAAAACCCGTCAGGTTCGGGTCATGATTTTATTTGACCCGGGTGATTCGAATGACCAGATGATGCGGTTTTAATCTGTAATAGTTTAAATAATGAGTGTATCTATCGACCTTACTAATTCTGATAATACAGCTACCCTTGTAATGAAAAGCATTGCGAAGTGAACTTTTTGAAGAGAATATTCTTCCACCTGAACATAAAAATTCAAAAACTCATCGTGAAATTAGTTGTCTTAACTGCTCGTATGTATTTTTAATAGAGTATATATAATTGAGGATATTATTATAATTTTTTTTTCAAAAATTATGGTGCCATTTCCTGTAGAACGTATGTGTCTATAAGTAGGGATGGGAAAAGTTCCAATTGGAGCGACTCAGAGCCACTTGACATTTGGTTCTGAGAGATCTCGAGAGTCGGTTCTATTTAAATTATTTAAATTGTAATGTTAGTAAATGAATATTTAAATGTAAAATTAAAATATACAAAATAAATTAGCGATTGGTAAATTTTGTGGCACAGTAATTTGTAACGCAAATTTTTTGTACTGAAATGAATAATCATTGAATAATATTTTGCATCATAATTTTATTTAATTTTATCATTTTAATAATTTACATTTATTTGATTTTAAAAAATTTTATTTTTTCAGTTGTTCGGTCGGTTCGGTGCCGAGTGCCACTCAGAACCTTTATTTGGAAGTGCTCTATCGGTTCGGTTCGGTTCGACTCGCAAAACCGGAACCGAACCGTTAGAGTTGTCCCAATCCCTAGATATAATATAATTCACTATGTGTTTGAATTCCTGGTGGAAAATTTGAAAGCAAAATTTAATTAATGTACAACCAAAGACTCATAAACTTGCTAATTTTAATGCACTTTTTTCATTATCTAATAAATTTATTTTACTTTCGGTATTTATCTTACCCTTAAAAATTCGAATCGAATCCGAGTTAAAGAATAATCGGGTCGAGTCGAATTCGAGTCCTGAGTCCTGTAAATATTAACGAGTTCGGATTCGAATTTGTTTCAAACCCGACCCGACGGAGCACTAGGCATTAATCCTTAAATTTAGAAATTCCCTGATATTCAAGAATAGTTTTTATTTAGCCGCAGTTGTTTCGAAACGATCTTCATTTAATAAAATTGACTATTAAATAAATCTTGCATCAATTTTGCCTAATTAAAACCTCCTATCTTTCTTTATTCGTTTATAAATATAAACTTGTAAGAATTGAGCGCAACACTGATTATCTTTTAGCATTCCGAGATCAAAATGTTGTAAATTAGCGTATGCATATACGATTATTCTAATACCATGATCATTAAAATAAACATATATAGCTATATTATATTGTCATGAGCCTATTATTCTATCTATTACCTCATCTGTTAATTTATCCTTATAAATATCATCTTTGGAAATAGGTACTTTTAACCCATGAAATGGTTTCAAGTCTTTGCAAATTAGTAAAAACTTTTCTGCTAAGACTATTCTATTTTGATAAGTTTCCATAGTTTTCTCCTGCAGTGAAATGACAAATCTGTTAACAAATAGGACAGGATAAAGAGTTCAGTAAGCGTTTTCTTCCTACCCGATAAAAAAATTAGGATGGGCACAAATGTTTCGGGTAAGTCATTTGATGTGTATATGATCACTTAGACCATAAATGAGGGTAAAAGCATCATATTAATTCGCAATACGCTACTGTTATTACTACTGATGCTATTGTAAAAACTAACTAATTCCTATTTCCCTCCTTTTCAATCCATTCGATGATTTTATCCATAACTAGCTAATGTGCCAGCGCTATTCGATTGACAAAATTATGTACTCCTCTTATTAAAAGGGGGCCGCAAATTCGACCAAGTATTTTCAGATTTATTCGTATATTCAGAATATTGTCCCACGGATACGAAGAAAATCCCTTTTATCCCGCTAAAAAGGAATAAGGCAGTAAGGCACAGATAAGTATAAGGAGGTCTGCTATTAAAATTCATGTTCGGATCATATGATTTATTAAGTCTCGTAACCTGATTTAATAGCAAATGACCCATATATATATTCATATCAATTATGGTTTTTTCTCACGCGTTTATTAGTCAAGAAGACAATGACCTAACTAGAAATGTCGCATCGTTTTTTCATTCAGCTTTCGTTGAAGCTCATTGCTTAATTTTAAGATAGTCCATTCAAAATTATAATCTCGTGGTCCCATTAGATATTTACAATAAAGGACGAATCTGATGGAACTTTTCCCTAAAAAAAATGCCCTAGATTATTTCCATTGTTAGAACACCTTGGCTTATCATCTCGAAAATAATAATTACGATTTCGAATGATGCGATCAATAAAAATATCAGATTTTGGTGCAATGTATTAATTTTATTTCTTGTTATTATAAACTAAGCTTAGCTTTCCTTTCAAATATTTTGTAATGGGAAGAAGAAAAAGTGCCAAGGCTTCTCTATAATTGCGCTGTTATATGTTTTACGATTACACGGCATAATATATTTATCGACGCTAACATGATATATCCCGCTTCGAACTGAAAAAATCTAATTATTAAGATCCTGACTCGGCGCTTGCAACATCAATCCTAAAAACGAAAAAGTTAGAATAAGCCTATAAACTCATAGTCGATATGGGTATTTTATTTTGAAAATTATAGGCTAGGCCGTAAGGCACTTCAATAGAAAATTTGTTTTATAATAAAATTTTATTGAAGTAATTGTCCCAATGAGCTACAATATTGAGTGTATATAAAAGTAAATAAACGATATTAGAGCTTAATGCCGCCAATTCTCACTTTTTTTTTTTTTTACTTTTTTTCATGTAATAGTACAACGTTTCTTTTCTTTACTCTATACTATTCGTTCGTGGCGTAGTTCGAAACAAAAAAAAACTTTTATCCTTAAAGGTATACTGTATATCAAAAAATGTTCGCATGAATATTTTTGCGAAAATTAGTCAATTATTTGGGCGTAAATACATTTATTGGGAAATATTTATTCTGAGATAGATCTACGGAAATAATCCATTTCTGTTTCATTCTAACATCAGCGATCCTTTACAAAGATGTGTCGTGAAAAAAATATGACAAATATTGCACATATTTTCTTGGCTGGGTTTATGCCAACTCACATGATTATTTTCAATTGATGCTTCTAAGCCAATGACGGTAAAAACTAGCGAAAAAAAATAATAAAAATAATAAAAATAATTGAGATTTTGCCCGTCACATGATTTTATTATTTTCTTGGTGAGCTAGAGAAAAAAATTTACATTTCTGTAATCTCCTTTGATTAGAAAAATCTCGCACCTGATATAAAAAATCATCATCGATAATGCAATCTAAACAGAAGCAACGAATTAACGAGCTTAAAGTTGATAACGCCAAGAGAATGCTAACGCTATGAAAGAGATCTCAAGCACAGGATCGAGGAACTAGAAAAAAAAAGAATTAAACTATGGCTGAGTATGTCGATTCAAGAAACTGGGACAGGGAATGGGGCATTTCTTGACTACTGAGAAGTGGAAACGGAGATGATCACTGCAAATTTAAATGCTTTACGTGATCATCTAACCTTACCACCAATTATTATGATAGCCGAAATTAGATTTGCAGATTAATTTTTTTTCTTTGAAGCAAGATTTGATTGATATTCATTAGACGAATTACATCAAATAATTTCTAATTAGAAGGTTTGGAACCAAAACATCCAGCGCACATCACTGTGTATATATAAATGCCATCTCATTCTATTTACTAAAGCAATATCTCAAAAATCTCACAAAATAAAAAATACTAAACGGCTCATTCATCATGAAACCAACATTAGTTCTCGCAATCTTTTTGGCACTTATACTTACTGTTCAATCATCTCCTGTAATCTTTAATAAAAGACAAGAATCTGATTCTGTAAATGATATACAACCACCTGTAGAAGATGTAGAAGAAAGCAATAGAACTGTACCAACAGGGCCAAATCCCCTCCATAATAAAAAATAAGGTGTTGCTTCAGCAGAAACTAATTCAAGTCTTGGTTTAGAAATTTTAAATTATGCTTCAATAATTTTTTCCTTTCTTTATTGATAATGTTTAACTTTCCCTGAAGGGTTAAATTACGATGATTGGTTGTGTCATTTGATATAAGGTTTTCACAAAAAAAGCACTCGTATTTTTATTTATCAAACTTATATACTTTTTATTTCTCTATTTACTTATTCTTTACCCTCATACTATTACCCTTTTTTTATCATATTTGTTTAAAAAAATTTTGGCATCCTGTGCATAAAATTAATTATCCCACATAGAAGTATCATATCCGACCAGTTATCTCTCTAAAAGCATTTAATGTAGTATATATAATAGCGATGAATTTATTTTATTTGTATTATTTGTATTATGTTTAAGTAATAAAATCTTATCCCCTCGGTATTATGTATACACCGGTGGAATTTCTTATCACTTCACTGGTTTGTAAAAAGTAATTTGATACGAAAATTTAAATTATAGAAATATATCTATTCATACTATTAATGAACATGTATGTACATCTTTAACTTTATCAGGAAAAATAATTTTTGAAAATTCAGATTGTTCTTGGATATCCAGTTCAGATTTTCTCTTTTTTCTTTGAAAAGTTGTTTTTGCATTTGATATATTTTAATTTCTCTTGCCTTTTAGCAATATTAAAATAGAGTAATAATCAATATCTAAAATGCGTTAAAAAAATTTACCATTATTATTTTTATGAGTGGGTTATTATTTATTTTTGAATCCGAATTTTCATTAGGGTTCTATTCATTGGAACTTAACACTTCTCTACTTGGACTTAATACTCTCTTTATGTAATCATAAAAATTAATAAATTATAAAATTATATAAAATTTAACCTGAACTTTCTGAATTACTTCTATAAAAATTATCATTAAAGTTAGTAAATGAATTTTCAAGAAAATATTCAAATTCTTCCACTTCAATGTTTTCAATATCTAAAGGATTTAAGCTAATTATATTCGGAAATTTTCTTGCTTCATCTAAACTTTTATAAGTTCTTACTCCTTTTCATGATTTGTGACCAGAAATTCCATAAATCATCTTCTAAAATACCTTCAACTTACTATTCTATAATAATTATCATTAACAAATTTTGATCATTAATACTTATTAATATTGCTATTTAGTAAACATTTTCTCTGATTTTTTTATAGCCTATATGTTTTATACCATATTTTTCATTAGGTCTGAATAAATAGAAAATCTTTAATAATTAAAATATTAAACAATATAATCAAATTTTATTTCCTTTTGAACTTAAGATTTCTAAAAAAAAAAAAAAAAAAAAAAAAAATGATTAACATACTTTTGAAGGTTATATTAAATTATATTTAGAATATCATAAATATATATATATTGTTACATATATTACTTAATTAAATTATAAAATAATTATTCTATAATATTCTATTAGTTTCAGGGCATTGTGTTCCAATTTTATCTAAGATTTATTAGATTTTTTATAGATTATAGGCCAAATCATCTCTAGTCGAATAATCTACTAATCAATTAGCCTACTAGTCATTATGTTTCATAAACAAAAAGGCTTTCAGACAATTAATTCTTGTGTATTAGATTCCTTAGATAATATAAATAGATAGTATTAAATTAGCATTTATTTCATTTCCTTTTTATTTGTAACTATAATGAAATATATTAAATAAAATACGTATTTGATTATAGCATTAAAGATTAAGACAATAATTTATTTATATAGTTTTAAGTTAATTTCAATTATAATTAATGAATAAATTTAAATAAATAAACCTTTTACTTACCCATTCTTTTATATATAGTTAATAACTGTATGTAACAGTATCTTTTAAATCAAATAATATAGGAGTTTTTTATGATTTATATTATTCATATTCTAACATATCTTTGATTATTTTTTCATTTTAATAAACATTTCTAAGTATAATTTACAATCATTTCTTTATATCTTATAAATAACTATACTTTGCAAAAATCATATAATAAAAAAATCTAAAATAATACACTTTTAATAAAGGACTTATTATCATTACTATTTATAAATAATTAATCCAATATTTATTTTTTTTTATTTTGCTTGATTAATGAATAAACTTATATAGCTTTTCTTAATTTTATAATTTAAAGTTATTTTATTTTATTATCTAATTTATCTAATTTATCTCAAATTTTGTATAGTTTATTTATAGACTAGCAATTTTATCTAGAAATTTACTAATATAACGTGATGTAAATTATTTAAAAATAAAATATTTTGAAATAATACATTAACTTATAATTAATAGTTAATAGTCTAATTATAATATAATAATCACTAGTTGAAATCATTTCTTTCGGCACTAATACCTTTCGGTAAACATTCAGCCGATTCGGTCATGTAATTTGGCAAAAATTCAGCTTAAGTTACAAAAATCAATAGTAATTTGTTACATCACACATAATTTAGCATTATTTCAGTACTAATACCTTTTGGTAAACATTCAGCCAATTCGATCATGTGATTCAAAAAAAATTCGGCTTAAGTTACAAAAATCGATAGTAATTTGTTATATAACACATAATTTAGCATTATTTCGTTATTAAGACCTTTTGGTTATAATATTCAGCAAAATTACAGTTAGGCTCAAGATTTGGCAATAAATCGACTATATCTCACTAGTTGAAATCTGTTGAGCTGATTATTACGAAAATTATAAAAACATTCTGAGCATAATCGTCCTAAAGAGACGATACATTTGTTCTAAAAGAGATGATAGAAATCATTTTAAAAGAAACAATACATTTGTTCCCAAAAGAGACGATAGAAATCGTCCCTAAAGGAACGATACCTTCGTTCCCAAAAGAGACGATAGAAATCATCTCAAAAGGAATGATACATTCGTTCCTAAAAGAGACGATAGAAATCATCTCAAAAGAAACGATACATTCGTTCCCAAAAGAGACGATAGAAATCGTCTCAAAAGGAACGAACATTCATCCCCAAAAAGATGATAGAAATCATCCCTAAAGGAATGATACATCATCATTTTGAAAAGAACGATATTTTTTATCGTTCTATTAGAACGATACATCATCATTCTGAAATAACAATGTTTTTTTTATCGTTTTTTTGAAATAATACTTCATCATTCTGAAAGAACAATATTTTTTTTATCGTTCTTTCAGAACGATACTTCATCGTTCCAAAAGAATGATTTTTTTATCCTTCTATTAGAACGATACGTCATCGTTCCAAAAGAATGATTTTTTTATCGTTCTATTGGAACGATACATCATTGTTCCTTTAGAACGATGATTTTTTTTATCATTCTTTCAGAACAATACTTCATTGTTTTATTGGAATGATTCATCATCATTCTATTGGAACGATACATCATCATTCCTTTAAAACAATGATTTTTTTTATCGTTCTTTCGGAATGATATATCATCATTCTATTGGAATGATTTATCATCATTCTGAAAGAATGATTTTTTCATCATTTTATTGAAACGATACATCATCGTTCTGAAAGAACAATATTTTTTTATTGTTCTTAAGGAATGATCAAACTATCATTCTAATAGAACGATTTTTTATATTGTTCTTAAGGAACAATCAAATTATTGTTCCTTTCGAACGATTTTCTATATCATTCTTAAGAAATGATCAAATATCGTTCCTTTTGAACGATTTTGTCATCGTTCGGTTGATTTTGCAATCGGATGATACAAAATCATCCATTTGCAGCATTTATGATAAATAGTCTAAATTTCGGATTAACTGAAATTTTAGTTTAGTTTACAGTATAAAACTGATAAACTTTCGGAATATTCTGAAAAAATTTATTTCTTCCTTTTTTTTTGAGGTGATTTTAAGGCGGAAATTTAACCTTTTCCTTTCTTTTTTCTTGTTTTTTTAGGAATTTCTTATTTTGGAATTAAGGTAAGCGAATCGGAAGTGATCTTTGTGACATTTTCCTTTCTTTGTTCTTGTTTTTAGGAAATTCTTATTTTGGGAATTAAGGTAAGCAAATCGGAAGTAACTTTTAGATGGT